TCTGCAAATTTCTTTCTCAAGCCAGTTTGTACAGAGATTACCAAACTCATAATCAACTAAATTACAAATTGACAGTAAAAATTCAAAGAAAACAAACCTAAATACTAAAGAAATGAAAGTATAATCAAACTGAATACTAAAATCGACGCCGTGTTAAAGAAAGAGGGATGGGGTGTGGATCACTCACGGATCCATGTGGATCAACTCAGATCTTGGCTTACAGAGGTCAGATCTACGCCAGAACATGGTTGACGCCGCCATATCTCGAGTTATCGGCTAAGGTTTCACTATCGGAATTAAGAGAGAGGGAGGGAGGATGAGTGATAAAATGAGAGGATGAAGATAGAGATGAGAGAGAAAGTGAGAGAAGAGGTGCTACGGCAGTGTTGCGATAGAGGATGGCGGAGGAGGTGCTGCAGCAGTACTGCGACAAAGGACGGCGCGGGAGACGACGGTGATACTGTGGCTCTGGTAAGTGAAGTGGTCCTTGAGGATGGTAACCTCGGCAGCCTTGTCGAAGGTGGAGACGCACTGGATCTAGAAATGTGATATCTCTGTTCCGTAATATGTTAATTGGTCCTTAATATGAGTATGATTATGTGTTTAATATGATTTTGTGTGCCATTATGTGAAAATATGTGGTTTTGAATTTCTATTTGTTCACCGTAGAAATATCTGTTTGATTATCTGCTTTGGAATTAAATTGAAGGCCTTATCGATCACAGAACCCGAAATCGATTACGCCATTGTGATTAGCATAATTTTTAGAGCCTACGGTGAAGTTTAATTGAAAAATTCATTCGGATCAGATTAAATTGATTAAAATAATGACTTAGTGCTCAAATCATTTAATCTTAAAATAAAATGACTAAGGGAGCTTCTTATTAAGGGCACTATACATCCAATTCTCCTTCTTGGTATTCATTTGGCTGATTTAACTCTAAGAAGAGAGGGGGAGGTTCGGTTAGAGAGAGAGTGTGTAAGAGATTGAAGTTTGATCATTGAAGCTTGAATAGTTTGAAGACCAACTCAAGATTTAGCCATAGTTTGGGAAGATTAAAGCCTCTAGGTAAGTGAATTCATGAACTTTAATTTGTAATTTTGTGAGTTCAAGTTTGATTAATGGCCAAGAACATGAATTTAATTGAGTATGATGAAATTGGGTTAGTTTTGTTGAATTGAAGGTCAATGTATGCATGCATGTGTGTAATTGCTTTGAATTTGTATAATTAAGCATGAAAGGTATGATCCATGTAAGATTTTGGTTAGAGTTCATGCTTATAATCACCATTTGCACCATTTGAGTTGGTAATGAGAGTCATATCTCACATGCATGTACAATTTATAAGAATATGAGTTTGAATGTATGAGTTTGTTATGTTGGAAATGAATTTGATGTGAATTGGGACATGTATGTGACTAAATTATGAAATTGAGTTTCATAATGTTGTAATTTGGTGTTTGTTCCATGATTAGTACATGTATATGTGAAGTTTGAGCTAAAAGCATGCATTTAGAGTCTTTGAATGTCGAGTTGAAGCTCAAGAACATGTTCTGGATTTTTCAAAATTTTGATGTCCGCTCGAGCGGGAGAATCGCCGCTCGAGCATGAAATTCGTGTTCCCAGTATTTTCTGCAGACATGGTGTCCGCTCGAGCGGGGAAGTTCACGCTTGAGCGGGGAACCATGTAAAAAGGCCTTTCGCTCGAGTGTCAGAGTTCGCGATCGAGCGTAAATTTGACATATCCAGTACTTTTGCAGGCCTCAAGGGTCCGCTCGAGTGGGGAAGTCCACGTCGAGCGGGGACCCTATTTTTTGAAATTTTGAAAAGATATTTTGTGTTTCATTTTCTGTTCTCTTTCACTTCCAAGTACTCTTAAGCATACATTGAGCATTGTAATTGAGTTAAAGAGTTAAGAATGAAGCCTAAAGAGGAATATGTGGATTTAAGAACGAATTGAATTGTTTGTGACCCTTTTGTGTTCATGGAATGTATAGGGTCGAGCTCCAGGGCAAACCAACCAACCGGTGACTGTGAGTAATATCAATGTTTTGGAACTTGTCATTTGTCCAATTGCTTATTTCTTTATGAGCCTTATAAGTGCTAGTTTGAATTATGGACAAATGTTTACTATGAATAACTGAATGAGCCGAAGGCCAGTTTGACATGAATGAATGGGCCAGAGGCCAGTTTGACATGAATGAATGAATGGGCCAAAGGCCATTTTGACATGAATGAATGGGCCAGAGGCCAGTTTGACATGAATGAATGGGCCAGAGGCCAGTTTGACATGAAAATTTGAATGGGCCAGAGGCTAGTCTGACAAATGAAAGATAAATGGGCTAAAGGCCAGTATGTTTGGAACTATAGTCACTTGACCTAAATTATGTATATGCATGTTAAATAGAAATATGAATTGGGCCCAAGGCCGTTTGAAGCATGTTGTTCTACATATCGTTTGTATAACTTCTGTATTTGATATTATTCACTGGGCTATCGCTTACGCTCATTCATGTGTTTGTAGGTGAGCCAAGAGAAGTCCAGACCCAACCCTAGTAATGTCTGTGTGGAACAACAAAGGTTTTGAAGAGTCAGCCCTCGCGTCTCACGCACGAGACCCGTCTTCGCCTTTTTGTCATTCTGTTTAATTTTGTCATGTGGGCGAAGTCTTTGAATATGGTGTATATAGTTTTGATGGGTTGACTTAGACTATTATGATCCTGTATGTACAGAACTTTGTGTGGTACATATTTTGTTGTGAGTTATTAACGTGCATATGTATGGTTGTTACGATGTGCCATGCAAGCACAGCTCTATGGACAAAGTTTTAAATTGCTTCCGTTTGGCCCCCATTAACTCTGTTAAGATACGTTTGGTTTGGTTTGGTTTGAGGTCGTAGGTAATCTCATGATTACTGGCCGGTTATGTCCTTAATCCACGAGGGCGGGTTCGGGTCATGACAGGATCGGTCTCGGTTTTAGGTTAGGGTTTCGAATAAGAGAAATCTGAGAATCGACGTATACGCTAGGGTTTGAGCATCGACGGAGAGGGAGATGGAAAAGAGAGAAGAGAGAGAAAAATGGGAGGGAGGGCAGTGATGGTGGTTAGTCGGCGGCATGGGGGTGATGGAGGGAGGAGGAGAAAGAGACAAAAAGGGAGGATTTGGGCTCAAATAACCATGGTTACAAAGGAGGACTTTGGAAAGATGGTTAAAAACGGTCATTTTGGCCTTTTTTTTTTTCTTTTTTTTGTGAGAGAGAAAGTGTATTAAAAGGTGAGATGTGACTTTTAACTCATTTTTCAAAATAAGCCAAAATATATATACACATAGTATTTTGGTCATTTCGTCTGAGGGTGTCTTTAGGAACAAACTGTTTTAGAGTGAATTTTAATCAAACAAAATTCCAATTTAGATTGTTGGACAGAGTGCCCATAAAAATATTTGAAAATGTATAATAATTTGTGAACACTACAATAAATAAGAATTTTATGAACTAAAAGTTTTTGTTCCCAAAAGTAAAAAATTGTTGTAAAAAATGTTTGTGGACGAATTATTATTGTCGCAAAGGTAATCACTAAAATATTATTCTAAAAAATAAAAAAGAAAATAAATAAAATAATTTGATCCTAAGAAGATAATAATTTATCATTAAATGTCTAATTGGATCGCTAAAACTATAATAATAATACTTTTGATAACAAAAATAATTCATCCTTAAAAAGTATTTTGTCTATAAATATATCTCTAAAATTTTAATTTGTTGTAGGGGGAATAATTATACTCTTTTTTATGTTATTTAATTCTTGACTAGTGGATGGTTGATAGTAAAATCTTTTTCTAAGGTTTTTTTTTTTTTTTTGGATCAACCAAAAAAAAAGAAAAACGTTATTGATGTGAGAATACATCAATAAAGACAGGTTTTTTTTTTTTTTTTTGGATCAACAAAAAAAAAAGAAAAACGTTATTGATGTGAGAGTACATCAATAAAGAGAGAAGGCAAGGGGAAAAACATCATAGCAATTCGGCCTAATCTCAGCTAGGTTGGTACTAAAAAAAAAATAAAAATAAAAATGCTCAATCATTTCTAGCTCAAGCCAAAGAAGTTGGCGAGACAACCGAAAAAAAAAAAAAAAACAGCAAACAAACAGACCACAACAAAACACAGCAATACAACCCCAACAACACAAGCTCACTAACATTTAAGCAAAAACTCATTCAAAAAAGCAAAAAAGCAAAAAATCGGCAACAACTCAATTGGTACTCATCCTTTGTTGCTCCGCACAGCAGATGCCCCCAATGATGTTGCCATAACATTGATTTCCTATTTGTGCCTCAGCCCAAAAACCAGACCATCCAGAGCAGGTTAAAAACAGAACACCCAATTGCATCCTCACCCAGAAGAACGAATGCAGCCTCTGATTTGTTGAATTTTGATGACAAAATCATCAATGGAGCAGAATCATCCAAAAGAGTGAGCTTTCATCCAAAGAGCCTCTCTAATTTTTATCAGTTCACAAAGCTCCTCACTATTTGGTTGAAGCTCATTAAACCTGCAATCATTACTATAATTCCACAAGGACCATAGGACAGCCATAAGAATTGTTCTCCATAGTGCAATAACATATCCACAGATCCAGGCAAAGCCCACTGTACAGTACAACCCACCAATCCAGTATATTGGACCATACCCTCCAAGCAAAGGGACAAAAAAGCATAATATGGTTAACTGATTGAATATCTGAATGACAAAGCACACACTCTAAACTCACCTCAAAGGATTGCTTGGTTAGAGTTTTCCAAAAATACTTTTCAAAAAATTTATTTTTTTGTTTGTCATATTTTTTTGTTTTTATTGATTTTTTTTAATATTTTAAGTAATATTTTAAATTTTTAGATATACTTAATATAAATACACCTAAAAAGTAAAAAATTTGTGAAAAAAACCTTTTAAAAATTCACTAAATATCAAAAATACAAATATCTATATAATAAGGGAGGAAGGTTTTTGAAAATGTATAAAATGTATGTGAGATACATTTAGATTCAAAGGCTGAGATCAATTTTGATAAACACCAATGGCTCGGATGATGATTTATTCCCGCCCAAACCCATGCTCTCTCCCTCTCCCACCTACCCACGTCTCCTCCCCCATTCCCTCTTTATCTCTCTCTCTCTCTCTCTCTCTCCCTCTCTATTCTTATTTCCTACCCTCCCTCTCCAACTCGACCTCGATTTCTGCCTCCCTCCTCTCCCCCCTTCTCTCTCAGTGCTCGCTGCGCCCAAGGTAGGGTTCCGATTGAGAATCGCGACGGCAGTAGTGGAAGTGCTGGTATCTCCGACATCGGCTCAACCCGAAGCCTCAACTGTAACCGCCAGGCGTACTCTTCGGTTTCTCAGAATCGTGGACGAGTCTCATTGGCTACACACCAGACCCACTACTCTCGAATCTGTACGAAGGTCATAACACTTATTTTGTGATTGATTGGTTTTATTCAGGTATGATGAGCTTTGGATGCCATTGATTTATGATCTCACGGTTGGACCAACATCAACTCATCATCCCCCAATGATTCTTCCTCCTATTGATATTCAATGGGTCTGGTTTTGTCACACCTTCAATCCGGTAGGCTATTATTTGATATGTTCTAATTTGAACTCTGTTCGGTTGCCCAGAAAAGTTCACAATTTGGGCTAAGTTAACTTTTGGGATTTTGTTTGCTTTTCCTCTGTTTTCCTCTGTTTACTGTGATTCAAGGTTCTCAAAAATCATAGCAAAACCAGCTATTTTCGATGAAGAGAATGAAGAGTATTTGGATCTGTAGATACCCATCTGAGTCGTTCTTTGTGGTTGGTACTTCAATTCATTGTGTATATACATATTTTTGGTTGTGTTATTATATACATAAGTTTGTATGCTTGTGGTTTGATTTGAAAATAGGTATGTCTTGGTACATTGGTTCTGCTCTAAGGCGGCAATTGAATATGGGGTAGAGGGATGATGTCATTGTATTAAATATATATATATATATATATATATGTTTTTTCAACAAAAAGACAAACACATTTTGGAGGCAAATATCTCAAAGGGTCGAATCTCACAGTTGGGAACAGATTAAACACAATTCGTCTTCGTTGTTCGATCTCCAACTATTACTTCAATAACACCTTCTTCTCTATATAGCCATAACTAATCTATTCTATTACATACATCTATATAGCCATAACTAATCAACTTCGCTTCCTCAGATTCTGTCAATACAAAAATGCTAAATTCTCTCTTCTCCCCCCTCCGAATTCTCGCAATTCCTTTTTTTCATGATTTCAAATTCCATTTTCTTTTCCGTCGAATTTCAGAAAAGTTCTTTTTCTTTTTTTCTTTTTTCTCCAGAAACAAACAGGGTGATTGCGAAATTTTTTTTCCATTTTTTTTTACCCTGTCAATTTGTGAAAGTAGTTTTGCATTATGATGAATAATGATTTCGTGCACATTTGAATTTTAATTCAGATGAAAACACGGTCCCTTGAATTCGCCATGGTTGCAACACTGGCAATTTTATGGAGCATTCGAGGGGTGATTGGGATCAGATTTGTGATAGATAGGGAGGAATGTTTCTCGCACAATGTGGAATACGATGGGGACACCATTCATTTATCGTTTGTTGTAATTAAGTTCGAGGGATCATGGCATTATGCTCCAGATGGGGCTGATCTTGTGGTAAGATCTACTTTTTTTTCTTTTCTTTTTTTTTTTTTGGTATTTGATTGTGTAAACCACAAAATTCTTACCCAGTTGGGTTTATGTAGTTAGTTCACAGCTATTTGTTGGATTTTCATAAAAGAAGCTGTTTGGTAAACTAGCTATTATGGAATGAAGGACTGACAATTTGCTAGAAATGTCATGGTTTTGGTCCCTAAGGCATTGTTTGGATCTTGAATTTGTCGAGGGAAAATAAAAGGAAGGAAAAAATGAGTGAAATAGATCCAAACATAGCGTAAATTTGAAATTCCTGATCTGGATGAAAATTAATCATCATTAAACACAAATTAGTTGAATGTGTTCTCGAAGACATTGCTATTTTCAGTATTATATGTTTTGAATGATTCAAACTTGATGTGAAACAGATCTTTGAACTTAGTGGCAAAAAGTTATGGAAATATGGAGATCTATTGTAAAACCTCAAGGTTCAAACCTACAACCTCAAGGTTGATAGGCTGAGTTTTAATCACTGAACCAGTGGCCCCCTTTTGGGACCATTCGATTTCACGATTCCGTTCATTCCCACTTTTTTTTTAATACAAATCCAGATAGTAAACATCAGTTTTAAGTGTCTGCTATAGTAATGTATGTTACTTCTTTATCATTAGTGAAATAACAAACTAATGTTTCTAATGAGGATGAAACATATAGTAACTTCTTATATTAGTCATCTTTGCAGCAAAAGGAAAGCTTGCTTGATTGAGTGGGTCTCTCCATTCTTTTTCTTTTCTTGGAAAATTTTATGCGGGCAATCTAATTGGTTTATGCATGTATTGGTTCTTTTTCTGCAAAAAGACATGACTGATCTTGCAAATTTGCTGAGATTATCAGGTGAAAGGACCTTCCGGTAATCAGATTCATGATTTTCGTGACAAGACGAGTGAGAAGTTCGAGTTTGTGGCTCATCAGAGTGGAATCCACCGTTTCTGCTTCACTAACAAGTCTCCTTATCATGAAACCGTTGATTTTGATGTGCATGAAGCCCACTTCTCATACCATGATCAGCATGCAAAGGATGGTGAAGCCATTTTTCCATGCTTTTTGTGTACTATATATGTTTCTTGATCTGGTGAGCCCTTTTAAGTGTAGAACTTATCATGACTTTCATGTGCATCTGCAGAGCATTTGAACCCTTTGTTACAACAAATTTCGATTTCTTTGTTAATATTTTCCATTTAAAGTATATATGGGAGTGCCTTTCTCCCTTTAATAATTAGTTTTCCTAAATTTCAGCTTGTTTCTTTCCGCCATTTTCATGTTATGTTGTGTCTTTTTGTTGTAGGTCATCAATTTATGGGTTTTCGATATAATCAAAGGTATAAGCTCTAAGCGATTTTTTTGCTTTTTATTATATCTGTTTCATTACTCAAAATTTTAGAAAATTTATTTTTTTGGGGTCTATTACGTATTGGGTCTTTTGTTGGATCCTTTGGTATTTTGTGAGTTGTAAGTTGTCCTAGCAAACAACCATTGTAAGTTGTCCAACACCCAATATATTGCACAGATGTAGTAAGCAGAGTACCTGCTACTACAACCAAATAAATCATCGATTTTGTACACAACTCTACAGTCTCCAACATAATTTATTTTTCCATGTAAGCAATTATTTTTTGTCTATTCATAAATCCTTCCTATTTAATGTTGGCATTCTGTTTTATATACCTGCATAGTTTGTCTGGAAAGCAATTTATGGTTTTGGATCTATGTCCTTTGCAAAATGGATATTTTGTAATTATGCTTTGCCTACAAATAAGTATCTCTTATTTTTATTATGCCCCTCTCCTATACGTAGTTTGAGGGTGAGAGAATAATTTCATGAACAAACGTTCCTTCCAAATGGCCCTATGGCAGAGCAGTAGAACCACAACTTTATACTTCCACGCTGGCATGCCATAAGCAAAACACAAAATGTCCTCTCAAATGTATGCTTGCATTTGTGAAATTATGTTCATATAGATCATGGAAACAAGAAAATGAACATGCCAAAATTTCATTTGGACTGAAGTGCTCATCCAATAATGTAGTAACTTCTAACTTATGTCATGTTGTAAATTTTGTTAATTCGATGTTAATATATTTCTTTTTCATTTTGAGCATAGAGCTCTTGCATCTAATAAAGTTGTAACTTCTAACTTATGTTGTGTTGTAATTATTTGTTAATATATTTCTGTTTATATTTTAAAGTTTTCTTATGTTTTAGCAGTCAAAATTGACAGTGTCTGTATGTGCTAAATATGGGTTGTAAGTGGTGGGTTATAGGCCTTAATTTGGCCAAGTAATATTAGTGGGTATGTAGTAGAGTTCTGGAGAACTATTAGTAATAGAAGTTTGAGTTTTTTTTTTTATATTTGAAGTCTCAGTCCTAAAAGAAGTAGGGGAAGTATTCATTTAAATCCAGTACAGTCTTTTAGAGATTTAAAGGTTTTGTGATATGTGAAGCAATCCAACATTGGAGGTTGAAGCTGAAGGAATTTTAATTAGGATGCTCTTCTTTTTCTCTTCAATCCATATTCCTAATACGAATTTAATTCAAGTTAAAGTAAGTCTGTTTGGGAGGCATTAGATGGTAATGCGATGTTTTCCGTTACATCTCTTGCCTATACTAATATCAGCTGATACATGAATGAAACAAAGCAATGCCTTCCATGGGGGAGCATTACTTTAAGATATGCTTGGGTAATTATCCTTCATTCAACTGATGCATTTAAATGCAGTTTTCAAAATTAAAGAAGGGATAAGAATATGTAGCTTTGAATAGCCAACTTCCCATTTTATGCAATTAATTAGTTCATGATTGCCTCACATAACTGAATGTTTATCTTTATTTCTTTTCTGTTATGCATTGCTGAAAATCTTATGACCCAAAAAAATCTTATAGATGGTTGTTTGCATTGACTCGACTTTCAGTCAACAAGTGGCAAAGTTTTGAGCCCGTGCTATTAATGCACTTTCTCTAACATGATTTTCATTTTTGCCTGGTTTTGAAGGCTTTGCACACAACTCTTCTGGACCAGGAGAAAATTTTCTTTTTATTGCCAACTTTAATTGTATTTTTTGTCGATCTTGGTAAAGAACAAGCATTTATTATCCAAAATGCTGATTGTGCACATGCAATGCTATGACTGTAGGCAACAATATAGTTTAATAAAGTCCATAGTCACATTGAAATTTCAAAACATTTGTGGGTTATATTCTCTGAATCTATGAAGGGTAAGAGGCCATCAGACTTTTTAAGAAAGTTTTGGGTTGAGTTGGATATGAAGAAAATGTTTTTGCCATCAATAGAATTCAGAAAGTTTTTTAAGAAAGTTTTGGGTTGAGTTAGTTTCCATTTTATTTTTGCATAGTCGTACTGTTGGTTTTTTTGTTTTGGATAGAGGATATTCACTCTCTTTAGTTACATTGTTGGATGGATGTTGTTGTGGTCCGTGCTTTATTGTTTTATCTTTTCTTATGTTTCTGATATGCTAGGTGTAGTGGATTTTATTTTATTTATTTTTCATTGTTTTTATTGGGTTGAATTTGTATTTTTTTTACCATTAATTTTGTTTTCAAAAAATATTTAATGATCATGATTACTCCATTCAAGGAGGTTTTTTTTTTCTTTTTAATTATTTTTTATTTTTTATTTTTTAAATTTCATTCCCTTGATCTAATTTCATTGGGTGTGTTCATCTGAGCAAACCAAATGGATAGTTGGAGTTATTCGATTTTTTATTTTTATTTTTTATCAGTTGTTGTTCATAGTATTTCAGTGCACAATGTTAACTCATTAAATATTCTTTAATATGATGTTTGGCTTCTATTAGGAATTAAATTGTTCAATCTATTTTTAGTCTGCGATTTTTTTTTTTTTTAAATTTAATATTATCATCTCTGTTTTTAGCAACGAATTTTATTTTCATTTATTAATCTCATCATTAGTTGCACCGTGCCTTCAGGCACGGGCATACACTAGTATATATATATATAAGAATTCAGTATATTTTTTATATTTTTATGTATTTATTAATTTTTTAAAATATTTTTCACAAATTTTTTACTTTTTAGATGCATCTAAAAAAGTAAAAAAAATGTTTAAAATTTTAAAAATATTCACTAAAAACAAAAAAAAAATATGAAAATCAAAAAACTTAATTCAAAAAACTCAAACCAAACACACTAATACAGATATTGAGAGGTCTTAAGCCTACCTTGCCAAGCAAGCCACGAAAAAAATTGAGCTTTGGGTGGAGATGGGTTATTCCAAATAAGTCTGTTAGATTTAGGGTAGGTCCATCAAAAACAATAGAATATGAAGGGTTGGTTTGGGAAGTGGGTTGACTTTTTAATTTTTTGACTTTTTTAGTTATTTTAGCCCGGGTTAAAAAACTTAGTTTGGGAAGGACTTTTTAGCTTTTTGGTCTTTTTGGCTTTTTTATGAGAGAAGAGTGTAATGATTATAGATTGGATGTGATATTTTGTTTGTTGTGGCTAAAATAGCTTATTTTGTCTTTTGTAGCTATTTTAGCCACAAATCATCTTCCCAAATGGACTCGTATTTTTTTTTTTTTTTAATTTATAGACACTGTTCACATCTTACTACCGTCGGACTTCCGTTTAACGGTCGCCGGAGACTCACCGGAATGTCTAGAATATTGCCGAAAAAAAAAAAATTAAAAAACATGTTATGAAACTGTAAATTTTACAGTTTTAAAGAATGTTATAAAACTGCGAAATTTTACAGTTTTAAACCATGATTCATTCCAGCACCAAAAAAAAAAATTTGAAACTGCAAAATTTTACAGTTTTCACCGCCTGTAACTAAAACTCGAAAACTGCTTGTTCAGAATTCGAAAATTTTCTCCATTAGAACAGAAAAACAGAAGTGTATAGCAGAGAGAGAAAAAAAGAAAAAAAGAGATCGAAGGGGAAAGACGGATGTCTAACCAAATCTGTGTAGATCTACTCAGATCTGATGTAAATCTGAGTAGATCTATATCAGATCTAAGTAGATCCATTCATCTTCTTCGTTGGAAAATATATTATCTTCTTCGTTGGAGTTGATTTCAATGCTTGGTGGTTATCAATGAACCCCGATCAATGGAGAAAGATATGATCACCGGTGGTCCTCTTCCATGACAAACACGGTGACAGAAAAATGTAGAAAAAAAAACGAGAGAGGAAGGGAAGAAAAAGCAGAGAGAGAGAGGAAATGACTTTTGGGTGTAGTGAAAAAGTTATGGAATTAAATGGAGATCACATGTTTCCCATGGGACCTATGGGTAATTTCCCCTACATATTTATAGTTAGGGTTCTTGATGTTGGGTTTAATGGGCTCATTTTGAGGCCCACTTTGAATTTGAGAAGAGTTTCTATGCAAAAAAATCAAATTGATTGAATATCGATAACCAGATAATCGAGTTACATTTCTACTTAAAAAATTAGTCTATTATCAAAATGATATTTGTTGTTCAATTTTATAGCACAAATGTAATTCGAACATATAAGTATCAATATTTGATTAATATAATTTTTTACATAAATTATCATCTTGACAAGTCTTATATAGTAAACAGTTCAAATCATCAAATTCAACCTAAAATACACCAACCAAGCCCAAAGGTCCCTTTCTGGTAAACCATCACCTTGATAAAACATGTATGGGTGGTATTTCACCATGGGACATAAAGCATAGAGAGAATATAAAAGATTAATTTAACCAGCACTCCCTTAATTATAGTGAATATTACTTTATTCTTTCATTTATGAATTCGTATATTTTGACTACTTCAATTATAAAAATATATCATTTTCATTTTATTTAGATCCTCTTAAAGGATGTATTTGTATGGTTTTCAAAATTGAGAGAGCCAATATGTATATATTTATAAGGTATGGCTTCTGTCTAGTCCGGGATCGGACTGAACCGTGATATTGGGCCCGTGGGGGCCCACCACAGGTCTTGTTTTGATAATCTGAACCGGTCAATGTGTAGAAATCGTCGAATACTATATGCTTGTAAAAAATCACGTTGATCGGATATCGATAGTTATGTGATCAAAACAGTTTTTTGTCAACAGTTAATTTGTTCACAGTCCAATTTTTTTAATACGAAACTGATTTGATCATATAGCTATCGATATCCGATCCATGTGATTTTTTTACAGGCATACAGTACTCGACGAGTTCTACACATTGCACGATTTCGATCATCAAAACGGGACCCGTGACGGGCCCCCACGGGCCTCACAGTACGGTCCAATCCGATCCCAGACTGGTCCCAGACTGGACAGAAGCCATACCCATATTTATAAATAAGGGATAAAGTAATATGCAATAATAATTGAAAGATTCTTGGTTAAGGTTTTTCTTTTTCTTATTATTATTTTTTTTATAGATAGCGGCCGACATGTAATGATTCCAACCTGACAATAATATGAACTCTATAATTCCAACGCGCACGCGCACACATATTATAAAAGTATATTATGACATTCCAATTCATTTATATATGTATTATAGTAAATATTACTTTATTCATTTATAAATTAGTATATTTTGACTATTTTAATTATGAAAATATATCATTTTCATTCTATTCAGATCCTCTCCGAGGAATGTATTTGTATGGTTTTTAAAATTGATAGAGTCAATATGTACATTATTTATAAAGAAGGAATAAAATAATATGCACTAATAATTAAAGGATTCTTGATTAAGGTTTTTGTTTTAGATAGCAGCCGACATGTTATGATTCAAACCAGACAATAATATGAACTCTATAATTCCAACACACACACACATATTTATAAAAGAATATTATGACATTCCAATTCATTTATATATATATATATGTTAGATGCCTTTTGGTATTGAATATTGAGAAATAAAAATTCTTTCAGATTTTGTTGTTGCTAATAATAATAAATACAAAGATTTATCTTTCAAATTTGTAACAATATTAGTAAGAAAAATGATTTAATATCCAAAAAAATGAAAATATTATTCTGAGCAACGTTAGGAATCTCAAATAAATCATCAAATATTTTACGTAATACTCGAATATGAGACCCATTTTTATATTATGTGTGAGGGAGATTTTATAATCTGGCTTTGGGCCGTGGTATTGATCGAGCTAAAATTGGTCCGAGCATGTTTGGGCCGAGCTAAGCTGAGATAATCCAGGTGCAGTGCGCTCGGTTAAAGCCCAGGTCCGATTTGGCCGAGATAACTTCTCTACGAGCCTGGTTCGCGTTGTTTGCTCGTTGAGATCGACGTGCAAGATCCTCCGTAGACCGGCCAACCGAGCAAGTGTTCAGTCATTACGGGGGGCTGCTAAGCTCGGTCATAACGGAGCTTGGCGAGTGGCGTTGTTGGACTCGTTACGTAACACGGTCGTATGAGACCGAGGTGATGGCGCCGGGCTGCCCGTTCCCGCTAATGTCGTCTGGCAGTTTGATTAGGTGGTGTTTAGCTGGATTTGCGTTGACAGATGGGTGAACAGCTCCACGTGTCAATAGACGAATGGGTGCAGAGGTGAACGCAGAAAGTATATAAGCATGACTGCGCCCCCCATGCTATGGATGGAACATCAGTTGGTGAGAAAAACTTTAACCTTCATCCAGCTCCTCTCTCTCTTTCTCTCTCTCTCTCTGAGTGTGCGCTAACTTGACCGTCGGAGGGGTTTTCCGGCAATACACCGCCGGGTAGCTCATCGTCGTTGTGTTCGCAGGTTAATCGGATAGAAGCAG